TTATTTAAGATAGGCTCTTCACATTTAAATAGATTGCTGACTAGCTATTTAGGCAAGCTAGGAATATCTAAGGACATCTTAACCATCTGAGTTGACATAATGGAAAATGACCTGGCTCTTCAGAAGACCAGACTCTGACAGCGCTGTCAGTAGAAGGACCACTGCTAGAGCAGAGAGGCAGCTCTCCTACACGGGTTTGTTTGTTTAATTTTTAATTTAATTTTTTTTTATATGGAGCCTCACTCTGTCACCAGGCTGGAGGGCAGTGGCACGATCTTGGCTCACTGCAACCTCTGCATCCTGGGTTCCAGCGATTCTCCTGCCTTAGCTTCCCGAGTAGCTGGGACTAGAGGTACGCACCACCACACCCAGCTTATTTTTGTATTTTTAGTCGAGATGGAGTTTCACCATGTTGGCCAGGATGGTCTCAATCTCTTGACCTTGTGATCTGCCCACCTCGGCCTCCCCGAGTGCTGGAATTACAGGCGTGAGCCACCGCGCCCGGCCTCCTACACGAAGTTTTCTAGAGCACTGGCTCACAGGCTGTCATCTGCCCTCTCACACACGACAGCTGATGCTCACTGGCACAGTCTCTGGCAGCCTCGCCCTAACTCCACCTTTTCCATTCAGGAAATCTATCAGAATTTGAGCGAGAGTAATATAATTATAGGGATAACTTTGAATACATTGGAAAGGTGAGTCACAAACTAGTTACAAATTAGTTGTGGTAGACCTGTCAACTCATTCTGATACTGTAGTGTGCTATAAAACCAGCATTCAGACATTCTGCTCTGGAGAGCAATGGGTGGTTTTTCCACTGAGTCAAGATTCTTTGTTTACTAACACTGTTTAGAAGCAGAATTTTTTTCTCCTAATGAGTATTTCTTAGACCATTACTCCTGCTATATATAAAGGAAATATATCTGGCTCAAGTCAGAATGAGCAGCATCACTCTTGTTCTACTCGAACAAATGTCACGAAAGCAGCTTTTTATTAAAGTAGCATAATCCTCCTTAGCTCCTGGAGGGAATTACAGATTCATAGAATGTTACAGCTGGAAAGGGCTTTACAGCATCTAGAAAAATGTCCTCAGGCCGGGCGTGGTGGCTCACGCCTGTAATCCCAGCACTTTGGGAGGCCGAGGCGGGTGGATCACCTGAGGTCGGGAGTTCAAGACCAGCCTGACCAACATGGAGAAACCCCGTCTCTACTAAAAATACAAAATTAGCTGGGCGTGGTGGCACATGCCTGTAATCCCAGCTACCAGGGAGGCTGAGGCAGGAGAATTGCTTGAACCTGGGAGGCGGAGGTTGCGGTGAGCCAAGATTGTGCCACTGCACTCCAGCCTGGGCAACGAGAGTGAAACTCTGTCTCAAATCCAACACCAAACAACAGTCACTTTAGAAAGTGAAATTTCATAAATGAGAAAATCTAGCCAAGAGAAGAAAAAGACTCACCCTTGATTACAAAGTTAGTAACAAGCAGAGTCAGGAAGCGAACGAGGTCTAAATTCTGAGTCAGTCTAGTACAGACTACACCATAATCTATTAAGAAAGGAAGAAAAGGGATCGCAGATTGAAGGGACAGGAAATTGTGATCTTTAAGAAGTTCAAAGTGAAAATGATCAGAGGCTGACATATTAAAGAAAAAGGTGTGGCAGTACTCAACAGCTCAAGAAGGGCTGCTGCCTGTGGATGAACACTTAGGATTGAAAATAAGAATAAATGCTCAACTTTCTGGCAAAAAGTTGAGAAATTATGTGAGTTTAGAACCCTTGAACAAGAACTTAAAAATAGACATTTAAGTGGCTGAAATTATCTAGTGAGTAATACTGGATTTAGAGGAGGGAACTGGACAGCTTGTGTAAGGAAATCTGAAAGCACAAAGAAGGAATTACATTGCATTAGTGTGAAGTTCTTTATTTACCTAAAGCTCTTTGGTATAGAAATTGAAGAAAACTTTTTGGCTTAATCACTTATACAAAACAAGGACCACTCCAAGGCTTTACAGTATAAAAATTTTGGGGTTGGGCGAGTGGCTCATGCCTGTAATCCCAGCACTTTGGGAGGCCAAAGAGAGCAGATCACCTGAGGTCACGAGTTTGAGACCAGCCTGACCAACATGGTGAAACCCCATCTCTACTAAAAAATACAAAAAAAAAAACAACTCGGAAATGGTGGTGTGCCTGTAATCCCAGCTACTTGGGAGGCTGAGGCAAGAGAATTGCTTGAACCTGGAAGGCAGAGGTTGCAGTGAGCCGAGATCATGCCACTGCACTGCAGCCTGGGTGACCGAGATGGACTCCATCTCAAATAAAAAAAAAAAAAAAGAATGTCTGCATGTTTGTCTACTCCCAAGAGCACTCTTCCCTTCTTAAGATATACTGTGCACTGGTAAAAGATTAAAAACAAAACAAACTCAGCTAAGAAGCAATCTTTGGTTTCCTGGTCAATGAAGAACTTTGCTGAAAGAAGATATTCCCATTTAGAGAAAGCACAAAGTGAACACAACTAGAAACAACTAAAACTCAGTCTGGTATTTCAATACTGTGTCATAACAGCCAGACAACTTTCCAGCTGTTCTCCAAGACAGAAAACTCAGATTCTGACAATGAAGAAGATGGATGTGGCCCAGTGCAGAAGTCAGATGGACCAATTGGTTCCAGAAGATTTCTACTTGCAAATAATCTGAGTGATGAAGATTACAGGCTTATGAGTGATAACAATTTGCTAGGCATTATAGGTGAAGTACAGAAGAGTTGCTGAGAAGGTTACAACAAATTAAAGAGGATTCCCCACAAGAATCAGGTGAAAGTAGAGGTGGATAATGTCTAGTACTAGTAATGAGTCTGTAATAAAGTGGCTTACCTCTTTTGAACAAACTGAAAATATGACAGGAAGTGAGCAAAGAGAAAACCAAGCTTGGACAGCAGTGAGTCAGAGTAATCCATATAGTGGTAATTTCAGATTCAATGTAGGGATCAGTTTTATCCTTAATAATGGAAGGCTGAATACAGCAAATAAATATGCATCATCTGCAAGACTTCCCAGGGGAGAAAATGAGGAAAACAGTCAGAGGAAAAAGTGGAAAATATGGGTGCAGCACACCAACATGGCACAAGTATACATAGGTAACAAACCTGCACGTTGTGCACATGTACCCTAGAACTTAAAGTATAATAAAAAGAAAGAAAGTGGAAAATCCACAATCTGAGTCAACATTTGCAAGGCCACCCAGGTCAGGTACAAAGTGCGACAGAAGTATTAATGAAAGAAAGTTCCACTTACCAGAGGTCAGAGAAGACTGAGAAGCAGGAGGCCAGACCAATGGAGAACTAGAGCGAGAAACAAAAGTAGGTTGCCTCCAAATTCACGGTAAGAAATTTCACAAATATTTCATGACAATACACCATCTCAGACTTTTGAATGACCCCTGGTAAATGAGACAGAGATTTTCTAGAACTCAGCAACATGAGACATTGAGAGAGTAAATAACTGACCCATAGTTGCAAAGTGGGCATCTTTTTGCAGCTTTTGGAACATGGAATACCTTTCCAGGAGAACATTCTCCAGACACAATCAGAAATGGTGAATCTGGGGCACTGAGACTGAGAAATCCAGTCATAGTCCTGGCTGTGATAGTAGGAAGAGTTCATCATAGAGGATATTTGCCAAGATATAGCACGCCTAAGAGAACCCAGTTAACAACTCCAACACCAAACAACAGTCACTTTAGAAAGTGAACAACGAGGACTCAGAAATAATATTTTCACATTCTGAGCAAGCAGGTGTGAGAACCTATTTCACTACCAACAGAATTCCTATTCACAGAATTTCAAATACTCATTTAATACACCTGTTGCAACTCAAAGAGCATTAAAGCAAATAATGACAAGATGTGCAGACTCAAATACGGACAGTGATAGTGATTTATATCCTAGTGGCTCACCCCAGTCAGAACATGGCAAGAGCAAAGTCACAGATTGAAAGAGATGGTTCTGATATCAGCAACTGTTCTGGCTCCAGGTCATGTCACAGTATTGCTTATGATTCTGACTCAAGTTCTGCAATCTTTAAATCAGCCTCCAGTTTTTGAAGCGTTCATTATACATAAAGTAACAACCCGATCTAACTCACTGGTTTCTGAAGGAATGACTGAACTTTCCTCAATCAATTTCTGTTTCAGTAAAAAAGAGGGAAGTGGGGAGCGAGAGGGGAAGGAAATGAAAGGAATTTCCAAACGAGTTTTCTTCTAGGTACGTACAGCTGTGACAGGACTGCCAGGCTCCGAAAGAACAAGCTTTTTATGTTAGAAAGGAAGTATCACCTAGCACTTTTAAACAGATGGCAAATGACCAGAAGTATGAACCTCTAGGCCTGAAGAAGGCAGTTGATTACACCAAGACTGTGTTTATGTGTATACAATCACTAAGCAGCTGCCTCTATAGATACAAAGCAGCTGCCTCTATAGATACAAAGCAGCTGCCTCTATAGATACAAAGCAGCTGCCTCTATAGATACACTTCTTAACAAGTAAGTTTTTAAAACTTTTTATTTATTTATTTTATTTATTTTTGAGCCAGGTCTCACTTTGTCACCCAGGCTGGGGTTGCAGTGGCTTCACACAGCTCACTGCAGCCTTGATTTCCCAGGCTCAAGTGACCCTCCCACCTCAGCCTCCCAAGTAGCTAGGACAACAACAGCATGCCACAATGCCCAGCTATTTTTTAAATTTATTTTTTGCAGAGACAGGGTCTCACCATGTTGCCCAGCCTGGTCTCAAATTCCTGGCCTCAAGCAATCCTCCCACCTTAGCCTCTCAGAATGCTGGGATTACAGGTGTGAGCCACAGTTTTTATACTTTAAATAAAATTTTTAGATATCATTAAATCAAGTTATTTAAAATCTGTGATCTGAGAAGCTACTTGTCAATATTATAACTGAATATTATATATAATTTTGGCATATCAAAAATATTTACATTGCAGCCAACACATATGGTCAATGAATACAAAAATTATTTATAAATGTACATATGTTTACAGTGACATCCCTGGGCAATAGGGACAAAAAAAAATTCACAAGAATACAAAAACCTTTGACCTGATACCAGTTGGTCAAGTCTGGGATTCTTGCCAAAGACCTTGAATATCAAAGCCCCAGTCTCAACTATCTGCCTGAAACCACTGAAGAATCCCAGGCACACTTCCCACAAGGCTCCAAAGTTATTTTTGCTCCTTGGAAGGCAAAGCAGAACATCAAAGTAGTGATGTTTTCTCAGGACCATTCTGAAGACTAGGGCAATCCAGCAGGTTAAGCAGCAATGTGACTTCTGACAGATGCACACTGGGGCACATCCCCATGGAACCATCAGGAAGCACATTTGCCCCGTATCTTCCCTCTGCCGATGCTGCACATTTTTGATGAGCTGTACCCATTTCTGTCAGCTGTTACCATTTCTTCATCAGGTATAAGACCAAACAACGCATGGCCCACCTTGGTGCAGTCAGATGCAATCATAAAGAAAGAGTAAAGCAAATGCTGACTTCGGAGTTTCTTCTGAGCTCTGAGGTAGTAAATGCAAAATTAATTTATGAGTCTCTGCCCAGATTTCATCCTGAAGTGGGTTTCATGTGCCTTCACTACCATCTTGAATGTTCCGAGTCCTACTAAAATCAAAACCATGATCCTGTAACCTGTGGCAGGACATGGAAGAAGCGGAACAGTCTGGCTCCAGCCCTGCCAAGCCCTCATTTTGATGAAGTTGTGGTGACTCATGGACTGGCTGCTGGGAAAAAGGAGGATGAGGCAGGCCTAGTTCTCTGTTTATGTTCCAGACGGGCCGCTGCAATGTTTCTGAGAATGAAAGACAAGAATTATCAGTAGTGACTGGTAAAACAATATCCTTTTAGCCAAATCCTCAAAGAAATAAAGATGTTCAATAT